CGCCACCGACGGCAACACTGGCTGCGCTTGCATGTGCCCACTCCACCTATTTCGGCACACACACACACACCCCCCACACGTTTCATGGCCACAAAAGGAGCACCACCGAGAGCAACACTGGCTGCTTTCGCATGCTCCCGCCGCACCCATTTTGTCACACCCATCACACGTCTCGTGGCTCTATCGAGAGCTCCGCCGACGGCTCTTGTGACTGCGTTCGCATGCGCCCACCGCATCCATTTTGGCACACCCTGCGCGCGTTTCGTGGCCCTATAGGGAACCCCACCAGGGGCACACACCTCGCACGTTTCGCGGCCCCACATGGAGCTCGGCCGACGGCCCGAGTGGCTGCGTTCGCATGCGCCCGCCGCGCCCTTTTCGGCACACCCTTCACACGTTTCGTGGCCCCATAAAGGAGGGCCAACCGACGGCCGATGGCTGCGTTCGCATGCGCACACCGCACCTATTTTGCCAAACCCCTTACGCGTTTTGTGGCCCCCGCCGACGACTCTTGTGGCTGCGTTCGCATGCGCCCACCGCGCCCATTTTGGCACACTCCTCACACGTTTCGTGGCCCCAGAAGGAAGCCCCCCGAAGGCGCCAATGGCTGCGTTCGCATACGCACGCCGAGCCCTAATGTGGCACACCCCTTCGCACGTTCCGCGGCCCACATGGAGCTCCACCGACGGCCCCAGTGGCAAAGTTCGCATGCGCCCGCCACACCCACTTTGGCACACCCCTCACACGTTTCGCGGCCCCACAAGGAGCTCCACCGCGCCCATTTCGTCACACCCTTCACACGTTTCATGGCCCCACAGTGAGCTCCACCGACGGCCCCAGTGGCTGCTTTCGCATGCGCCTACCGCACACACTTTGGCACACCCTTCACACCTTTCGTGGCCCATAAGGAGCTCCTCCGAATGCGGTGCATACAACGACGGTGGTCACAACTGCATATGGTTGGGTCCTTCGCCACTCTAACTTTCCCAACCACCTGTGGTGTTGGGTCCTCGCTTTGAACATACATCGCCCCGCGTCCTCCTCCTTCCTCATCCCGCTGCTCCTCCTCCCATCTGTGCCTTTTCCCTCCGCATGCGTTTTTCAGCACACGCCCCACACGTTGAGTGGCCCCATAGGGAGCTCCACCGAAGGCCCAAATGGCAACGACCCATTTTGGCACACCCCTCACCCATGTTGTGGCCCCGTAGGGAGCTCCACAGAAGGCGCACATTGTAGCGCCCGCATGGAACCGCCGCCCGCATTTTGGCACACCCCGCACACGCTGCGTGGCCCCATCGGGAGCTGCACAGAATGCACCAACGGCAGCGTCCGCATGGCGCCGCCGCTTCAATTTCGGCACGGCCCTCTCGCGTGTCGCAGTCCGGTATGGGCGCCCCACCGACGACCCACGTGGCAACGCCCGCCAAGCGGCACTCCGCCCGTTTCGGTCACCCCTCACACGCTTCGTGGCCCCATAGGGAGCTACTCGTTCTTCCCACTTGCCCTGCGGCAGTCACACTTGCATATGGTTGGGTCCTTCGCCGACATGATTGTATTTTTCCTCTCGCTCTCTTTCTCTCTCTCCATCTCCCTCTCTCTTTCTACCCCCCTCTCCCACTTTGCGCTCGCAGCACAGAGTGTGCCCACAGCAAAGGTCCCTGCAGCGAGGATTCCTTGCTACGTCCTTTTTGTAAGGGTTCCCCAGTGAGGATGCCTTCAGTAAAGGGATCCCGAGTACAGGAGTCCCTCAATAAGGAACCCGTAGACATGAAACTGTGAGAGGGGTGCTTGGCTGCTATCTGACATAGCCCACAACACAGAATGGGTGAAATGACACGTTTTTTTTTTTTTGTTCTCTCTCTCTCTCTCTCTCCCCTCTTTCTCCCGTTCTCCCCTTCACGGGGTGATTGCTGTAGACCCTAAGTAAGGATGCTTGTGATTAAAAGGGCTCTTAATAAACATTCCTTTTAGTGAGGAGGTCCTCAATAGGACTTCTTTCAGTAACCGTCCATTAGTAAGGACGCCTACATCACGGAACCGCACGTGCGCGGACCAGGAAGAGGGCAGAAAATCCACCCCCATAATAAGCACCCTGACAAGCGAAGCTGTTTGGGCTGTTTAGTAAACGCCAAAAGCCGTTGAGTAAACGCCAATTATTGTGTCCGGGTGGTTTTTCCTCCCTTGACCAGGGGGGGCCAGCGGACGTATTAAAATAAAACTAGGGGCCATGAAATCAGGGGGATTTCCGGGGCCGGGTCATGATGTCCCCGCGCCCTCTTGGACGCCTGCGGAGGCCTCCCAACTGGGTCCGAGTAGATGGGATAGGAGGATCGCGCCACATCGCCGATGCATTGCCGATGCATCGGCGACGTCGGGTCGGCATGCCATCGGCGCCGCCCGCGTGGAGCAGGTCGGGCTCCGCATCGATCGAGCCGCATCGCCGATGCACCGGCGATGCGGCTCGATCCTCCGACCCCATCTGCTCGGAACCCCTTTAAGG